AGTGGCGCTGTAGCTCAAGTGGTAGAGTGCTCGCCTTGAGCTGAAGAGCTGAGGGACAGCGCCCAGGCCCAGAGTTCAAGCCCCACAACCGACAAAAAAAAAAAAAAAAAGGTGATGTACAAAGGAATTATAGCTATATAAATCAAACAAAGAGTACATTTCTTTTTGCACAACATCACCCCCTAGCACCAACGTGTTTTTTTTTTGTTGTTGTTGTTTTTTATCTTTGGTTTGTTGGTCATGGGGCTTGAACTGTGGGCCTGGGCACTATCCCTCAGCTCTTTAGCTCAGAGCTAGCACTCTTCCACTTGGGCCACAGCACCACTTCCATTTTTTGGGTGGTTTATTGGAGATAAGAGTCTCATGGATTTTCCTTCCCCGGGCTAGCATTGAATCAAGATCCTCAGATCTCAGCCTCCTGAGTAGGATTATAGGCATGAGCCACTTATGTTAACAAGATTTTTTTTATTTGTTTTTTTTTTTTTTGGGTCCGGTGGTGGGGCCTGAACTCTGGGCCTGGGCGCTGTCCCTCAGCTCTTTAGCTCAAGGCTAGCGCTCTATCACTTGAACCACAGCGCCACTTCTGGCTTTTTTCTTTTTGCTTATGTGGTGCTGAGGAATCGAACCCAGGGCCTCATGTGTGCAAGGCAAGCGCTCTACCACTGAGCCACCTCCCCAGCCCCGTTAACAAGATTTTTAAATGACCTAAACTTTTACAACATTGATACATGCATCACAGGAAGCAAGAGAACACAGAAGCCATAACAACACCATCCAAAATCCCAAGGTTGGGTTGCACGCTTCTACACAACACAGTACGGTGTGTGATTAATCCTGCGTAAGATGAATCATACACATCTGGCTTTTCACACATTCTCAGTAGTCACCAATGCAAAGTCCATAAGCTACACAAGGACCGGATAACCATGAATAAACTACACAAAACTCAGTCTCTAGGGGGAAAATAGCTGGTCTTGCCTTTCTTGGGGACAAAAATGTCCTAGCATACAAAAAATGCCAACACACCCTGAGATAAATGTCATGCCGTGCGTGATATGATGAAGACGCCACATTCCCCCAGCACTCAGCTGAAAATGAGACAAGGCAACAGAGGACACGACAGCACTGCGGAGGGAATTTCTTTTCAGATGGAGACTGAAAAACAATGTATGTTCTACCCAGTGACGTCAGGCATTCCTTTAGTACAGTCAAAAGATAGACGACAGCAGCGTCCGTACAGCACGGATGCATGGCCAGCGCACACCACACAGCCCACTCCCTGCACTCATCCATCTACACTTCCTCTGCCACTAAACTAATGAACAAGTCCTGCTACTCTCAGAGTAGCTTGACAACGCCACATCCAACGTGCGTCTGGTCTACCGGTTACAACAGACGGTTTCAAGTTCGCTTATAAGGATTTTACATGGCGCTTTGCCTTGGGGATGGCAGGCTGTGGCCAAATGTGGTGCTGCCTGTTCGCTAAGTCAGATTTGACGCAGATTGGATGTGTCCCCAGCTCTCGTCCTGCCGCAGTGACAGCAAACTGCAGAGCCTAAGATGCTTTTCTGGGCTCAGGGGTCAGTCCTGTTCACCTGCTCTGCTCTGTTGCGGGTGCCTGCAATTCCAGCACCTGCTTCATTTTTAACAGCACTTCAGAGGTTCCAGGCCCCCCTGGACCGTGGAGGGCAGTGACCCTGGGCCTGGGAGGGACCGGCAGGAGACTGCTGGGTCTCCCCATAATCCTTTCAAGTGTGGCCTTTCTGCTCATTTTCATGCCATGAAAGCGAAGAGGTTGCAGGAGTCCCTCGTTTGGGTTAGTTTCCTGTGGCTTGTTGTGGCGGCAGGTTTTGCCGGTGGGGAACACCCAGACATCTGGACTTTGTGCCTTTCGTGATGTTTTGAGAAGATCGGATGTGCTGAGTCACGGGGCTTGCTTGTGTGTTCTCTAGGCCTCGCCCCTGACTTCGCCCCGCAGCCTGCAAGCCTCCCATTGGCCCACGTGATGCCTGAGGACATCAAAGGCTCCTGCTTCCCGAGTGGCAGCAAGCGGAGCCATGAACCCTTTGCTGCCGTGGAAAGGCTGGGAACCAGCACCTCCCACGCCCAGGCACCAGAGAAGGTGACCCTGCTGGTGGACGGCACCCGTTTTGTGGTGAACCCGCAGATTTTCACTGCTCACCCAGACACCATGCTGGGAAGGTAATGGCAGACGCTTCCTTCCCAGTTCACTGTGAGACAGGTTGGTGCCACTCAGCTTGCATGGCTGAGACATGAAGGTCCCTGCTCTCCCGCCTTCATACAGTAAAAGCTGGTGTGTGCAGGGCTCGAGGTGTTCCCCAGCCCCAAAGAGTAATACCAAAGTGGAGCCATGGGAGACGCAAGTCAGTACTCCCTAGCATGGCAGTTGGGCTGCGGGGGCAGGGAGGGAGGCACCTGCCCGCACGATTGCACACTGATCCTGGGCCAGGGGCATGGGATAGGGGTGGGGGACGTGGTCTACTCCCTCTGCCCCTGACTTGGGAGCTTACCATGAGAGTGGCTGCTGCAGAAATCCAAATGCTGACCTGCAGTGTTGCCTGCGCCCACAAGGTCACGGCTGGCACAAGAACCCCAGGAACATGAACAGGAAGGGGAGCACGGGCCACCCCTCAGTTACACCTGGGTACCAGGCGGTGAGGAGGAGCGGCTCTGGACGGGAGTGTTGGCGGAGGAGCACAGGAAAGGCAGGCAGAGAGCAGCCCTTCCTGAGCTGTGGCCGTTCCAATGCTGCTGCGTCCTGTAGGCGCAGAGCCCCGGGGCTGTGGACTGGGGTGAGAAAGGGCCAAGCGGCCTGGGTGCAATCTGCTGCCTGGTGTCTTTCAGGATGTTTGGACCAGGAAGAGAGTACAACTTCACACGGCCCAATGAGAAGGGGGAGTACGAGATTGCAGAAGGCATCAGCGCCACTGTATTCCGCACGGTGCTGGTGAGGACAGCGTTACCTCTTCGCCCTGGCATGTGCGGTGACGTGTTCACCCTTTAAAATTCCATCAGCCACGTTACCGACTCCGGTGTCTGGATTCCTTTCATTTCTGTCCTGGCCCCGTGAGCTCAGTCAGTCCTCAGGCTCTTTCTGGGGGAGGAGGATGATTGTAGGCAGGGACCTATCACCTGGACCGAGTGGCTAAAGATGCCACGCCCTCCGTGTTCTTGGCAGAATGAGCATTTCTTCCCAAATCTTTTTGCAGGATTATTACAAAACTGGCATCATCAGCTGTCCGGATGGCATCTCTATCCCAGACCTCAGAGACACCTGTGACTATCTGTGCATTAATTTTGACTTCAACACCATCCGATGTCAGGATCTGAGTAAGTATGGAGCTCTGCTCCTCCTGGGGGCACTCCAGCTATACTGGTGTTTAAGTCTGTAAATCCTTTTGTTTAACAAGAACAATATTAAAAATCCAGTTCCTTGACTAGTTAGAATAATTTTAAAACTTATTTTATAAAAATATCAGCACACACTGGCAAAATCTCCCCCCACCCCCCCAGTCATAGGGCTTGAACTTTTTTTCTGAGTTTTCTCAAGGCTAACATTCTTCTACTTGAACCACAATGTCACTTCCAGCCTTTTCTGAGTATGTAGTACTGAGGAATGGAACCCAGGGCTTCACACATGCTATGCAAGCACTCTACCACTGAGCCACACCAGAATACCTTTTTAAAATGAGTTGTTTCCTAATCACCAGAGTCCAGCCAAGATGAATGAGTTACAATTTTTTTTCTTTTTATGTCGGTTGTGGGGCTTGAACTCTGGTCTGGGCACTGTGGCTATGTTCTTCAGCTCAAGGTGAGCGCTCTACCACTTGAATCACTTGGTTGTTTTTTGGTTTTTTTTTTTTAGATTAATTGGAGGTAAGAGTCTCACTGACTTTCCTGCCCAGGTTGGCTTTGAACTGTGATCCTCAGATCTCAGCCTCCTGAGTAGCTAGGATTACAGGCGTGAGCCACCGGCACCCGGCTTGAGTTGCAATTTTCTAGACAGGAGTTACAGGCGAGGGCTGAGGGTCGTCTGCACGTGCGGACGCATCCTGCTGTCAGCTTCGTCCCTCTCCTGCTTCAAGGGACTGAGGAAGGGCTGGGGCACACAGTGAGATACCACTAATGGGTTCCAGATCCAGCGTGGCCAGCAGTTCACCAGGCTAGCTGCTTCCCCCTGGGCAAGACTGATGGCAGCTGTCTAACAAACTGGGTCCGACAGAGGCCCACTGGCCAAGTCAGACAACATAATTTGGTCAGGTTCTTACCTTTTTTTTTTTTTTTTTTCAAGGCAGTTGTATAGGTTGCCCAGACTGTCTTTGAACTCCTGATTCCCTTGCTTCAACCTCCTAAATGCTAGGATTATAGGCAATTGCCACCACGTCCAGCTTCTTACCAGTATTTTTCTCAGTGTTATTAACTTAGCATTTGCTTAGCACTTTAAAGATAGGGAATTGCTCAAAACTCTTAACAAAACAGGTGCCAGTACCTCATGCCTATAATCCTGGCTATTGAGGGTCAAGGTTCAGAGCCAGCATGGGCAGACAAATCTGTGAAACTATTATCTCCAGTTAACCATTGAAAGTAGGAAACAGAGCTGTGACTCAAGTGGTAGAGCTCTAGCCTGGAGTGAAAACGCTGAGCAAAGCATAAGGCTCTGAATGCGATGTCTTGAGGGCAAGCCCCTGTAGCAGCACAAAAACCTCTAACAGGTTAGCCCTGAGAGATCAGTGCAGTAACAAAGGAGACTGGACGATGCTGTGCAAAGTTCTGATCACTAAATCCAGCATGAGGACACAGATTGGCCGTAAACACTGAGCTTCGTGCTCTTGTCCTGACCCAGGCTGCCTGAGTTCCTGCATTTTCCTGCAGTGTGTGTGAAGGCCTCTACTGGGTCTACTACACACCTAGAGAAAGCCCTTGGGTCCAGGATACATCATTGTGGTGCTATACCCCTCCTGTAGATGTTTATGGTCTGATGCTGAGCATGTACCAAAACCTCAGCAGACGGTTAGACTTGATCAAGCTGGAGCATGGCAAGACAAGAATCCTTTCTCATGTCAGCCATGATGACCTCTGAGCAGGCCAGACCCTCTCTTCTCTGGTGCATGTTGGTGCTGACAGCCGTGAGCCTGTCTGGGCACGCATAGACACGTGCGCTCAGCTGCGTTTTCCCCAGGTGCTTTGCTACACGAGCTGTCCAACGATGGCGCCCACAAGCAGTTCGACCACTACCTCGAGGAGCTCATTGTGCCCATCATGGTGGGCTGCGCCAAGAAAGGGGAGCGGGAGTGCCACATCGTGGTGCTCACTGATGAGGACTCCGTGGACTGGGATGAAGACCACCCGCCGCCCATGGGAGAAGAGTATTCTCAAAGTAAGACACAGATACTTTTAACAAAACCAAACCGCTGTGCAGAGTGGCAGTGAGATCCTAGAACCAACACACACCTGTTTACTGTGTGACAAGCACACGTAGATGGTAAGCCACCGGCACTGCGGCTCTGGCCTTGGCTGGGAGTGTAGCCAGCGGTCCAGCTCTCGCACACCCCTGGTGCGGGCACCGCACTGAGGCCACAGACGTCACAGTGCTACCAGTCTCTCTCCTTCTGCATTCATTTGTGAGTTAGCAGTAATTCAAAGCTTAGTACAAGAGTATACATTTAAAAAGTCCTCTTCCAACCCTGCCCATCTATTGTTTTCCTCAGTTTCTTTTATAGCTTTCCAAGTATATCCAGAATACATTAATAGATGAATAATTGTTTTTCAAGTGATACCATGTTCCATGGGCTGTTCTGTACCATCTTGCATAAAAAGCAACACTTCCTTTTTATAGCTGCATAGTACATCATTGTATCAGTGTTCAGTAATTAATCTGTCCAGCTATTGTTGGCCATTTAAGCTGTGAGTTGTAATGCACAGTGACTGTTCTTTTTTAAATAGTCTTTACGCACATGTGACTTGGGCTGTCAGATATATCTTTGTGTGTGTGTGCTGGTTCTAGAGCTTGAATTTAGGGCCTGGGTGCTGTTCTTGATGTTTTTGTGCTCTACCTACCACTTGAGCCACACCTCCACTTCTGGCCCTTTGGGGTTAATTGGAGATGAGAATCTCAGACTTTCCTGCCTATGCTGGCTTTGAACCGCGATTCTCAACTCTCAGCCTCCTGAGTAGCTAGGATTGCAGGTGTGGTGCCTGACTCCATCATATTTTTTTAACGTTTAATCTTTGACCCATGCAGATCTTTTGCTGTCAGGGATTAGTACACCTTTTATCTCCTTTTACAGTTTCCTCTGTGACTCACTCCAGGTGGTTCTGTATCTTTGCTTTCGTTTCAGTTCTTTATAGCTCCAAGCTCTACAGGTTCTTCAAGTATATTGAGAATCGGGATGTTGCTAAAACAGTATTAAAGGAACGAGGCCTGAAAAACATTCGCATTGGGATTGAAGGTAAAAGCAGAAAACCTCCCAGTGAGTACTCAGGTTGCACACTTGGGGAACATAGTGGACCTGCCTACAGATAGGACCACAAAACCCCAGCTTCCAGAGAGCCGTAGGTACACAGAAAGCTACAGTTCTTTTGTTTTGTTTTTGTTTTTGTTTTGGTATGGTCGTGGGGCCTGAACTCTGGGCCTGGGCGCTGTCCCTCAGCTCTTCAGCTCAAGGCTAGCGCTCTACCACTTGAGCCACAGCGCCACTTCTGGCTTTTTTCTTTTTGCTTATGTGGTGCTGAGGAATCGAACCCAGGGCCTCAGGCATGCAAGGCAAGCGCTCTACCACTGAGCCAACTTCCCAGCCCGAAAGCTACAGTTCTGCTCCCAGTGACGCGTGCCTGTCCTCTCCTTTTCTTTCACTCTCGCTTGTTTGAAATGCTTTACGGCAGCTGAGAATAAATGATGGCAGGCACCGGCATAGGTTTGGCTTTCTATGTCGGGAAATAGAGCAGGGAGTAGAGCACCAGGCAGCACGTGCATCTGGCTCCTGTAGTGGCCAAGCATGAGCCTGGCTCTGCCCACAGCCGCAGGAGGGACTTCTGTGGTGTGGAGGGGTCCTGAAAAATGCAGAAATGCAGCTCAGTCCACCCCAGGTGGACTAAAAATTGAAGGGGATTCTATTTGAAGACTCAGGAGAGCCCTGCTCTCAGTGCTTTGTGCAGTGGCTCCCAGCAGTGCCCCCACAGCACCAGCTCCGAGGATCTCTGGCTGCTGTACTCCGCTGCTCGCATACACCCCTGCACACACGACTCCTCAGACCTTATTAGGAGAAATACTTGAAATTACTTACTAAGCCTCCCTCCTCTGAGCCTTTCCTAGGGACAGAGTGGCCCATCAGACACTAGGGAGTTTGGCCTCTGCATGTCTGCCGCTGATGCCAGCCCTGGTAGCTATTCCAGTTAAGAATTCCATTTCCGCCTGACAGCCGTTGAGTATCTGGGAAGCTTCCTCTTTCTCCTTCACACAGATTTCCACAGCTCCTTAACTGTTTCCCATTGTCTGCCCTCCAGAGAAGACTTAAGTGAATGAAGTAGCATGTCCTGGCAGCATTGTTGTTTGCTGATGGTTGCCAGCAACTAAAGGCTCTTGAAATTACAAAGAGGCTTCTCTCTTCCCCTTCCATTGAAAGACACAGAGTCGGCATTACTTCCCTTAGATTAGTTCCTTTCGACTAAGTCCCACCAACCTGGAGCGGAGTCCCTTCCGCACAGCTCCCTTGCTGTACTTGGATTGGGAGGAGGGAGAAAACATGGATGCCAGAGCAGGCTGTTTGCCAGGATGCTGAGAAGGTCCTTTTTCTCTGTACCAGGTTACCCTACCTGTAAAGAGAAAATTAAGAGACGCCCTGGGGGCCGATCTGAGGTCATCTACAATTACGTGCAGCGCCCCTTCATCCAGATGTCGTGGGAAAAGGAAGAAGGGAAGAGTCGCCATGTGGATTTCCAGTGTGTTCGAAGCAAATCCCTCACTAACTTGGCAGCTGCTGGAGAGGGCGTCTTAGAGGACCAGGAGAGACTGATGCACCACCCACCCCAGGTGGACGAACTTGACCGGCTCAATGCTCCACTTGCTCAGATGGCTTCTAACGACTCTCAGGATTAGGACCGAGCTCTTGGCTGAGATACCCAGCCAGGACTCCCCATCCTCCCTCTGGTCCTCTCGCCCCGAGTCCCTCCCCAGTGGCCAACATGTCTCCTGTTCAGTAAGTCTGTGCCTCCAGCAGGGGATGGAGCAGCTTGCTAGTAGCTAGGCTACCAGCGTCACAGCAGCCCTGGTAACTTGAAATTTGGGGTCTGGTGCTGTTCACTGAGTGTCTGGAACTCACAACCAGGAAAGGAAGCCAAGTCTCCCATTGCCTCACATTTAGCAAAGCTGTCCTTGTCCTTTGTGTCCTGTATGTTTTGTTTAGTATCAGGCAAATTGCTTAGTAGCAAAGGGACCAAACTTAAAGGGAGACAAGGCTGTCTTCTAAAGGCGGGCACTCGTGGGAGCTGCTCGCTGCAGGTGGAGGAAAGGCTGTTCTTGGTGCCTCTGTCCCTGGAGTGCAGCCGGGAAGAACCCGGCACTTGTCAGAATGTCTGCCACGCATTCAACGTTCCCCAAGGAAAGACTAAGAGCTTAAGTTCAGTCTCGTGTCTCATTGATGCAGTGAACAATCCAAAACCACACAGGACAGGCTCTTTGGCAGGCAGAATGACGTAACATTGCTGATGAAACTGTTTCAGCTTCAAAACTTATGAACCTCAAATTGATGTTTCATTGGAATGAAACTTAAAACTCATGTGGAAGAGCCTCTCCTGCTCTGGCCAGGTGGTCTTTTTTTTTTTTCCCCCCTCCTCGGAGAGCTGAGGACTGAACTCTCGGCCTGGCACAGGCTGCACAAGTGCGCTTCCATTGAGCTAAGTCCCAGCCCCAGGCCATTTGGATTTTCTTGGCTGAGACTAAGGTGTTAATCTGGAGGTCTTTATCTGCAGCCCTGCTGCAGGCATGGCCTAGAGAGCTGAGAGAATGGCTTACAGATTTCAAGATGAGAACAGAAATCTCAAAAAGTGTTCACATCTTAGACCTGCAGAGAGGGCACTGGGGGTGAAGTTGGGTAGGAGGTGCCACCTGCCCAAGCTCCATCCCAGGCCTGCCCAGAGTTTTCTGGGAATAGCAGTATGTTGTACACAGGGTTAGGAGAATGGTATTAATGTCATCTCCAAAGAGGGTGAGATAAAAGGACATCTTATCTGTCAGCTGCTACAGTGTGTAGTGCCTGGCAAGCCAGGCCACTTCCGGCCCACGTGACCTCTGATATTTTCTCGTTAGCAGCAGGGTTGACTTTAGAGTCCAGAGCTTCAAGAAGTGTTTTGGGAAGCTGGGCGCCAGTGGCTCACACCTGTAATCCTAGCTACTTAGGAGGCTGAGATTGAGGATCACAGTTCAAAGCCAGCCCAGGCATAAAAGTCTTGGAGACTCTTATCTCCAGTAAACCACCAGAAAACAGGAAGTGGCTCTGTGATTCAAGTGGTAAAGCATTTAGCCTTGAGCTGAAGAGCTGAGAGACAGCGCCCGGGCCCAGAGTTCAAGGAAACAAAACAGGAAGTGGCTCTGTGGCTCAAGTGGTAAAGTGTTTAGTCTTGAGCTGAAGAACTGAGAGACAGTGCCCAGGCCCGAGTTCAAGGCCCACGACCAACAAAAGCAAAGTGTTTTGGGATTGATCATTTCCCTTTATGGTGAAAACCAACCTTCAGTCATCAACCCTAGATGTTTACTCATCACAGATTGTGAGCATAGTTTCAAATTCCTTAAAAAAATTACTATGGTGTGTGTGTGTGTGTGTGTGTGTGTGTGTGTGTGTGTGTGTGTGTGTGTGTGTG